GTATATCGACATATCTAGACAATCACCAAAATCCAGACATAACTGACTTTTGTCTAATGCAAACCCTTTTACCTGCCTACTCCAAAATTTTATTTCCCCCGTTTACTCCAATAAAACTGTTACTCAATATTACTTCCTGTTTCTGCATAAATCTACAGGTTTTACATAGGTTGTATATTTTCTAAAGGAAATGTGTGTGTAGATGTCTTGTTCCATGGGGGGTAAAAATGCAGTCTGCTGAATGTTGGTCTAAGTGGTGTGTTTATGTGGGTAAAATTTTTATCATGAGTTGATGATTGTGACATATTTACCTGTCTGTCTACCCATCTCTACCTGCCTGCCTGTCTGCTGACATATTTACCTGTCTACCCATCTCTACCTGCCTACCTGTCATCTCTGCCTACCTGTTCATCTGTCTTTCAACTTATATATTCATCTACCTGTCAACATAGCTATTTACCAGACATGGTGTTATGTCCAGCCATCAGCCCTTGCAGATGTTATTTCTCCATAATATAAATATTCTTTCTCGCTGCCTGTGTGTTTGATGATGGTGTAGATAGTTAGGTTGGGTGCAAGAGTCTGTTCCATGATATTTATCTGCTGTCTCTGAGTGGTTGAGTGTGTGTCGCTGTGTTCTCTCTCTCTCTCTCTCTCTCTCTCTCTCTCTCTCTCTCTCTCTCTCTCTCTCTCTCTCTCTCTCTCTCTCCTCTCTCTCTCTCTCTCTCTCTCTCTTTCTCTCTTTCTCTCTCTATCTCCACCTCACATGGTCCTCTCTATCATATACACCTTTTGTCTGTGTGTCACTCTTTTCTCACTCACTTCTCTCTCTCTGCCTCTCGTGATGTCCTCTCTATCATTCACCTAATCTATGTGGGTCATCTCTTGTCTCTCTCTGAGCCTCTCATAAAGTAATTTATATCATTCACCTAGGTCTGTTTGTCACTCTCTGCCTTTTATGGTGTCCTCTATCATTCACCTATTCTTAGTGTATCATCCTCTCTCTCTCTCTTTCTCTCTCTGCCTGCTTTTGCATGATGCCTTCTCTATCATTCACTTACTCTTTGTGTGTCATCCTCTCTCTCTCTCTCTCTCTCTCTCTCTCTCTCTCTCTCTCTCTCTCTCTCCTCTCTCTCTCTCGCTCTCTCCTCTCTCTCTCTGCTCTCTCTCTCTCTCTCCTCTCTCTCTCTCTCCTCTCTCTCTCTCTCCTCAGTCTCCTCTCTCTCTCTGGTCTCTCCTCTCTCTCTCTCTCTCTCTCTCTCTCTCTCTCTCTCTCTCTCTCTCTCTGCCCCTCATGTTGTCATCTCCAGCATTCACCTACTGGCTATGTGTCACTCTCTTGTCTCTCTCTGCCTCTTCTTCTTTTAATTGTTAGTGTTTCCCACTCGATCAGCAGTGGGTTACATAGCCATTCTTATAAACAGTCATTTGTCTATCAAACTACACTTATTTTGTACATTATTTGAGCTAGTTATAATATTGCTTAAATCTGCTAAACTGTAAGTTAGGTGGTAGTGGTGTATATGAGTTAAAAACATTGTAATTCATTTTTCCTGCACTATTCCATTTTTAACTGTTTTTACCCTGTTTTTTTTATGTTCTCTTTCAATATCATATTATTGTTGTAAATTTGTTTTATTCTTGTATTTTCCTGAATAATACTTTGTGTGTAACTTGGTATATGATGATGCTGGCATAGCTTATATTCTATTTGCCACACTGCAGTTTATGTCTGACACACATGACAGCACTGGCTTAGTAAAAACTGGGCTTAGGTTAGGTCATCTGAATATTTGCCATCTTCTGGGAAAACTGCCCGAACTGTCTCTTATTCTTAGTCAAAATGTTCAGATGTTCGGCCTTAGTGAGAGTAGATTAAATGACAACATTACAGATGATGATATACATCTCAATGGTTTTTAGTGTTATTAGGAGAGACCCACATAAGAAACAAGAGACGGGTATAGTGGTTCTACGTCAGTAATTCAACTTAATGTCCAGCATGGACTAGACTTAGAGACTAGCGATGTTAGAATGCATATTTTTAGAAGTTGAGCTACAAAATCACAAACCCATCGGTAGTTGGTATTCTCTAACGCAATCCTAGCGCTGATAATATATAGTATGACAACTTTACCAATATGATGGAAACGGTGTTGTGTCAATAATGTAGGGGAAATTATACTTTCTTGGGGACTTCAATATAAATGCCTAAAATCCAATAAAAACGTGGGAAGACATAATTACCTCAATTTAATCTCAAACACACTAGTCAAACAAGCTACTAGAATAACAAAATCGTCATCAACCCTTATAGACCATATTTATGCATCATGTCCTGACAACATTATAGAATACAAGGTACCCAACTACAGCATTGAGTGACCATACCCCATAATTTGTGTGTGGAATAATAAAAGTAAAAACTGTCAAACAAAAACATGTAAATATTAAATTTAGAAGCTTTAAAATTTTTAATCAGATGCGCATTCCTACTAGACTTGTTTTTATTCACCTCTTGACCACGTTTATCATCTCAGAGCGTCAGATGTCAAACCGTCATACCGCGCTAGTAACGTCGATCAAGAGAGTCATTGACACGGAAACGATTGGGACGGCGTCCTGGACTTCGTTGGCTGAACCTGATTCAGATGACGCTCTGGAATATTGGCTTTAAGACCTTCTCTAGTGTATTCGATAAGCATGTGCCAGTTAAGGAGGGTCCGTGTGAAACATCAACTAAATCCCTTGGATCACACATGAGGTAGTTGCAATTAGAGAGCGAGATAGGACGCATAAAAATAAGGATATAATCACATACGGGAACCTGCGAAACAAAGTCCAGTATACCATTCATAAGAGGAAAGGAACTTTTTTAAAAACAGCTAATAGTATATAAAGAAACAGCATAGAAAATATGAGGCAGGCATAAATACACTGACAAACAAAGGTCTTCCAACCGCGTTTTGCTGACATCTAATATAACTATCAGATGAGTTTCAGTAATTTTCTTTTGAAGCCAATATAGAAAAGTTAAAAAGCCACAATTGCCAAAATCTTGCTCGTGTCTGTCTTGTCACTCCGCTTTCTTTCTGCCTACTCTATAATGTTTTCCTCCATCAGTCATTCTACTGTCTCTTTATGTAGCCAACCATGTTTATTGTGTTGCTTTTTACAGGCATGAGCTGAACAAAGAGAGAGAGCCGCAGGAAGAAAGAAAATTCAAAGTGGCCAGCTGGCAGACATTGAGGAATACACAAGGACTTTCTAGTGAAAAATGTATGGTTGCTGTGTCATTTGTGGGTAACTGTCAGTAGTATATCAGACAGTATGTAAGGCATAAGTTAATGTGTCAGTAGATGGGTGTACTATGCCACTTAGTGTCATTAACTGAGACATGAAAGAGAAAAACATTTTGCAGCCATACCTAGCTGAGTAAAAAGTAAAACAGTTGGCAGACTCAGCAAACATTATCGCAGTGTGCATGTTTTTTATGTCTGTTGTAGTATTGTCCATGCTGTGTGCAGGTTTTCATGTCTGTTTTAGCATTGTCCTTGCATTGGTGCATGTTTCGTTGTCTCTGGTAGCACATTGTCCTTGCACATTGTGCAGGTTTCATGTCTCTGGTAGCATTGTCTTTGCAGTGTGCAGGTTTTTCCTGTGGCTGGGTAGCATTGTCTTTGCTTTATGCAGGTTTCATGTCTTGGTAGCATTATCTTTGCAGTTTGTAGGTTTTCATGTCTCGGTAGCATTTGTCTTTTGCAGTGTTTCAGTGTCCGGTCATGTATGTTGTGAGTAGCATTTCTTGTCTTGGTGCTGGTGTGCAGGTTGTTTCGTTACTCCGGTCTATATGTTAGCATGTATGTCCTTGCTTTGTGTCAGTTTCATGTCTCTGTTAGCATTTGTCTTGTGCAGTGTCTCAGACGTTTCATGTCTCTGGTCTTTGCAGCATTCAGTCGTTCTCTGGTAGTGTTCAGGTTTTGTGTCTTTAGTAGCATTGGCTTTGCAGTATGCAGGTTTCATGTCTTTGTTCAGCATTTGTCCTTCGCATTGTGCAGGTTTCATGTCTTTTAGTTAGCATGGTCTTGCAGTGTTCAGGTGTCGTGTCTGTGGTAGCAGTGTCTTGGGCAGTGTTCAGGTTTCCTGTGTCTGGTAGCATGGTCCTTGCATGTGTGCAGGTTTTGTGTCTTTAGTAGCATTGTCATTGCGGTTGTGCAGGTTCATGTCTCTGTTAGCATTGGTCCTGCGCATTGGTGCAGGTTTATGTCTTTAGTAGCATTGTCTTTGGTATTGTGCAGGTTTCATGTCTCTGTTACATTATCTCTGCATTGTGCAGGTTGCATGTCTTTTAGTAGCATTGTCCGTTGCGTGTTCAGGTTTCCTTGTCTGGTAGTATTGTCCTTGCAGTGGGCAGGGTTTCGTGTCTGTGGTAGCATTGTCTTTGCAGCATGTGCAGAACACGTCATGTCCTCAGTCAATACCACTATTCGCTAACATGTGAAACTTTCAGTTCCTTCTTCAAGCAGAAATTGAGTATTTAAAGTCATCACAATACCATATTCACAGTGTGACTTAAGCCTACTAGCATCATTCTGTGAGGAAAAATGCACTACGACTATTTTCTCCAGAGATCCCACTTTCTGTCTGTTGCTGAAGTGTAATAAATATCTCTTCCAACCTCAAGCAACAACTCCTCTGGCTTAGATGGAATCAGTAATCGAATTCTTCGATTCTGCACCCGGTCATTAGTGACTCACCTAACATTCATATATAATCAGTGCCTTTCTAAGAACTACTTTCATGCAGCATTTAAATTGGCTAAAGTGTACCTCTGCTCAAACCTGGCTCAGCTGAAACACCAGTTTCACTTTGTCCTTATAGACCCAGTTCTCCACGAGTCCTCGACTATCCCAAACCATTGGAAGAAACACATACATAAAATAACGATTTCAGCATTTAAATAACAACAATCTGAGCTAGTTGACCTAGCCAATTAGAGTTCAGGCCTATGCACTCTTTTGCCATACTGACACGAATGCCAAAAATGAAAGACAACTGGGCCTTTAACAGCAGACAAAGGCACAAAAATTGCGGGGCAGTTTGTCGACTTGAATGAAAGCTTTCGATCTGGTTTGATCATGATATTATAATAATAAAGTAAAAATTATTAAAAACTAAAGATAATATTTAGTGACGAATATAGATACGCGGATCATGTTATCTGAGAGATCAGCAAGTTAATATCCTTTCAACAACGCCTCTGTCCGAATCACACTTCTATTTTAAAAATAGGCGCTGCCACAGGGGGTCGATTCTAGGTCCACTACTATTTTTCCAAGGCGTATATTAAGACCCTTCATGCCATCTTAGTATAACATGCGATTTATTTGCTGATGACTGTACAATATCATACTAGTAAATGAGTAGCATTCGTAATGAGTTAGAGAAAAGAGATCTTTACAGTAAGACACACACACCACATCTTTGTAAATGGAGGCAACAGCAATCGCATGCAAACTTAACATAACTAAATATGAAAGTCTATTAGCTTATCAACAACCAGACACAAAGTTGCGAAACATTAGTACTCGCACAAGACGACACTCTGATCTATACAGTGATTAAATAGTAACTATTGCTAATGTAACGGAACACAAAACGTTTAGGCCTTACAATTGGACAACCATATTAACCTGAATTCTCATTATTGATGGTCGTGTATAACTAAGAAAATAGCAAACAAACAGTTTATCAGACTTGTCAAAATTCAAGCACGTTTCTAGACGAAAGATGCAAGAAAAGTATATTTAACCGTCATTATATCCAAACACATGTCGCGACTATTGTTCACAGTTGTGGTATGGTTTCATGCGCGCAAAATCCAATGTTATAAGAGACTAAGTTCCATCTTCAAAATAGTGCTTTACCGCCTGAGTTTTAAGATAGTAAACCTATCAGTATAAAAAATTAATCTCTATAAACATCTAAGACTATTGCCATTTCGCAAACGTTTAATCTGTCAACAAGCCAATTATATCATAAAATATTTATCTCAATATACGCCAAACTCCCGTTCCGATTAATTAAATCAAAATCCTATAAATAGCAAGCGGACTCAATTTAATACAATTTACCTAAACCTAGAATAGATTTATAATAAAAATCAAGTTTAGCGTACATAATCCGCTGCTCATTTGTGGAACCCACTGCACACTAGACCTGAAAATTCTAACAGTCCCTTTTTCATTCAACCGTAACTTTTTTCAACTAGAGCATACTTATATAAAGCGGAATACACATGCACCGCTGATTGTAAATGTAAACCCCTTATTGCTATTATCAGATTATAGTATAAACAAGAGTGTGTTATAGATAGTGTACTGTTCTCGCAGCTGCCGCTCACAGCGTGTGCTACTTGTATGTATTAGTGAGGCGTTTGTTTGTATATATAGGACTCTGAGTACTGTGTGTTGTCATGCTTGTGTATCTGCGTGTGGTTGTCTGCGAATGTAGACGTCTTGCGTCCTTGGTATGTGCGAAATTGTGTGTGTGTATTGCGCGTATGACCACGTGTATGTATCCAGTGTGAACTGGTTATTTTTTATGCAATTTGATGTGACCTGTGTGCTAATAGCTTTACGTTTGGGTCTGTGTGAGTCCCCCGTATGTGTTGGTCTTCAGTTTTGCCTGTGTATGTTATGGTGTTTTGTCTTGGGGGATGTGTCTATGAGGCGGATATGTATGTTAATCTCCTGTGTGTCGGGTGTCTGTATGTCTGCCTGCTTGACTGTATGATGTCAGCATGATGTCTGTCCTGTCCTGTGCATGTCTATGTGTGTTGCTCTTGTGTGTGTTGTGTGTGATTGTCCCTTTGTTGTCTCGTCATGTGTCTGCAGTGAGAGTATATGTCCTGTGCGTGCCGGTGAATATATGTGTCTGCGTGTGTATTTCTATGTGTTTTGTATGTATATATGCATTTCTGCGTGTTTGTCTCTGGTGTCAGTATGTGTTTGTCTGCCTGTTTGATCTGTATTTGTGGTGTGTGTGTGATTTGACTGCGTGTGTCGTCTATGTGGCTGTATGTATGTGTCTGCATGTTTGTCTGATGTAGTGTGTGGTAGTGTGTGTCAGTGTGTGAGCACGAACGAATGTTAAAAATGTGTGCTGTCCTGTTCCCTGTGTGTGTTTATATGTAAGTGTCTGTGTGTGTGTCCTGTATTTTTGTCTGAGTGTTTGTGTTCTCTGTGGGAGTGTCCGTGTGTGGCATGTGTGTGTCTCCATGCATGACTGGATTTATGACGGTATGTGTGTATTCCTGTATTACTTATGTTATGCCTGTATGTTAGTATCTATGTATGTATGTTTGTGTTTACGTATGCCTTGTGTGTATGTGTGTAAGATGTTTGTTAATATGTATCTTGTGTATGTATGTGTATGTAATGTGTATGCATGCATGTTAAGTTAGTTAGTTAGGTAGTTGTGGGTTATTGGTTATCATCATTGCACTCCGGACATGTCCATAGGTGCTCAGATCCTCCCCTCACAGTATGAAGTCCCAACTGTTCGATGGCTAATATTGAGGAACCATGTGTTCTATGTTGTATTAACAAAGTCTTCTGACGTGTCCGGTGTGCGTCTCGTTTTTTGCTGCTGTGCCGATCTTAATTCCCCAAGTCTGCCATTCTGGCGAGTGATGTGGATTCACTGCCACCAAAGTCCTCTATCCTTCCCAGTTTCTCTGATGGCATTGATAATATCAGCTACATGATCCACTATAGAGCCGACGACACGTCTGTAGTGATAGCGGATCCCACAGCCAACCTGATCAGCTCTTTCATTTCCATCTGCGCCTGCGTGTCCCGGAACAAACATAAAGGTGACTCCTCGCACAGTGGACTTCTGAATTGATTCAAGATCCATTGTCTTCCGCACTGAACCTTCCTGAACCCTCCGGATCATTACTCATTGAATCACTGATATACACACGCGTGTATTTTTGTGTTTTCAAGCCAGGCAAGCGCTTGCGTCACTGCCATCACTCCATCGTCATGCTGCTGGTTGTCATGGCGAAGGCGCCGTTGGCTTCTTTGACTGTTCTGCACCGCTCTGAGCGTGCTGTAAATGCCCTGTATGCCCACGCTTCTTTGGCGTATACCTGATCCGTCTGTATAGATTAGTGCATCTGCTTCGTCTGAAATTTTCACCGATCGAGAGCGTTGACCTCTGCATGTGAACAGCAACAGTGATTTTATCTTCGGTCTACATCGCCTCTGTTTTTGTTTGTGTGTGACAATACAGGAAAATGTACAAATAAACGCCTGAGGCACGGTATCCATTCTGCACCAGGTATGTATGTCGGTTAGCTGCATAATTGCCTAATAACATCTTTCTCCCTACCTAGCCACGATTTTCCCCTCTTCAGTCTGTCACGCCCTTTTCACTAAAAAGCGCTTGATGCAGTGGTGTTTCTTATCAGCACATATTTTTGAGGTCTGCCCGAGCCCTCCACATCCTGGAGCCTCCTTCGTTCATTGTTGGAAAGTCAGTAGATACCTTCATTGCTCCCACCAAGGATGTGTCTCTCTTTGTTACATCCCAAAATAATACGCATGGCTTCATTTTGCCCCTTCTCGAGCTCGTTCAAATTGGTAGTCACGGCCAGTGACAGTGAGTGAATGGCCAAAGCGGTAAATCAAAATGGGGGGGGGGAAAGGACCAGACCATAGAATAGAAGCACCAGCAGATCTTTGCTCGATATTGAAAGGCAGCCTAATCCTCATTGCAGATAGACCTTGCGTGCTTTTGTTATCGCATGGTCAACGTGATTCCCTGATGTACAAGCTGCGATCGAACCTCACCCGAGAAAACGTCATAACGTTGGTTCTGATGCATACAATTATATCACGCATTTTTCACTTCTGGGTTAAGTCCGAACTTGACAATGTGATTGTTCAAAGAGAACCATGACTGATGACTGTTCGAGGGATTGACATAGGCATTGGAAACGATCACACCAGGGGCTGCGGCAATTCGATCGAGTTCTTTGTGCATTGTGGGGGCAGGGGCGATCGATCTCTGTCTATCAGCCCCGTCAGTAAATCAAAAATGTCGGTCAAGCAAATGACAAAGTCCTATCCCTTTCCATTCAACTGCTGCTCAGTTATCATCACCGTACCAGTAAACATTGAATAGACTGTTGATTAGCGGTGATCCCCTGTGGCAAGCCTGGACATATCGTTTCGGTTCTGAGGACCATGCTACCTAACTCTTAGTACAATCTTTCTCTGAACAGGAACCGCAGCAATCCATGCGTTGAATCAGTAATAGGATTGACTTCTAGTTTAAGCAGTAATTACATTAAATAATCATATGGTACTTTATTGTAGCATCTTCTAAGTCCCAACACTGCCGAGCACATGTCTCTTCTTTAATCTGAAATCCGCTCGTACACACGTCGTTAGGCGAAACCAGCACTCATTGGACCATGTCTCACTTTCTTCAATCTGTACCTCCAAGTGTTGTATGGAAATCTATATCATGTAGTTCCCAAGTAGGTGTCACATCTTGTGTGCGACACATTTTTGTGTCAGACGCAATAAGTTTGCAAACAGTATTCTGCAAAAAAAAATCGGCTGATTCTGTAAGCCGCAGATCTTTGAGGGTCTTTATTAGGCTTTGTAGTGGAAACAAATAACTATGGAGCCATTCCTCTTGTATCTCGGCCGACTCTGGATGCTGTATATGAATTCCTTTGCCACTCTTTTCAAATCAGCATTCGACATCATCGCATGTCATTGTTATCGGATGCCGTCAGGACCTGGAGCAGTGCTGCGCGATATTCTTGAGGCAAGTTCTTAAGGTACGTCTGCAGTGATTGTGAAATCAGTGCCTAGCTCAGTGTTCGCGCACAGCATCGACAGTGTCATCTGAACCCTATTCTTGGCAGCTTCGTCTTTTTGGTCAGTTGCTCCAAGTAGCGCGCCAGGAGGTTCGTTCCTTTATCAGCATCAGTTCTCTGCCATATCAGGTCGTGGACCCTGAAAATCAGGGATACCCCTTGGTCGTGCGGCGCCGTGCATGCTCCGTTGAAGCGCCAGAATGTCCAAGCGATCCCTCGAAGCAAACGCTCTTGCAGAATTCGTTCCACATTTCGCTGTCTTGGCTTCTTTTCGCAATTAACTTGAAAGCCACTGTCGCTTTTGACGCATGTTCAGGACTCATCCTTTCAGAAAGTGACGGATCTATATGCCTTTAGAAAGCTGTTGCCTCGATTTTTCCTTGGCAAGGGCGTTATAGAAAGTGACGGATACGATTCTGCCTTGCCTTACAGCCATTCCTTGACCAAGCGTCCTTTTCTAGCCACGCTATGTTGACTACTTCATTCCACCATGTGCATCTCTCCTCGCCGTCTGCGATCTGCTTGTATTACGTCGTCTGATATTTGCTAATGGCATCTTGCCCTGTACGGTTCATACATAAAGCAGATTACATGACCTTTGTTGTTGCTCTTCTCCACCAGGACGACGCACGGAAAGTGATCACTGTCATGGTATCCCAGTGTGCTCCACCTGCATCCTGGTGCAATGGAGGGAGACACTAGGGGCCAGGTCAATTACGCTGTCAGAATCCCCTTGTCGGGTTGCTATTCGGGTAACCTTTCCGTCGTTCAAGCATACTAGATCGGCAGACACTAGAGCATCCTCCAGGTCTTCCCCCTGTTTATTGGTGATTACATTGCCCCACTGGTTTCCTCTGGCGTTGAAATCTCCGCAGTAAAGGACTTTCTTTTCCTCAGTCTGGAGCAAACTCTCGCCATTTCGCTGTATCCACCTTTCCATTGCAGGCGTACACATTGACAATCACAAACTGGGCCGGGCCCATCACTCTGACTGCGTGTACTTGTAGGTCGTCATTATCCCACTCAGACATGTCCACCTCAGACACCAGTATGTGGTCACGAACAAGAATGAGCTGTCCGAGGTGCCGTCTATTGTAGAAGGATTGGAAGCCCGCAATTTTAACCATCTCGTCACCGAGGTGTGTTTCCTGTAGGACAACAAATGTTTGTGTGTGTAAGTGAGTGGGTGAGCGTGTGTATGCGGGTGTATGTATGCACGCGCGGGTTTTTGCATGCACTTTACAACTCATGCTTTTGTGTTCTTTTATAATATTCATAATATGCATAACATCATATGATCATAACATGCTTTATTAGTAAAACACAACTGCTGTGCGAAAGATGGTTGACTGGAAGGGCTGAATGTAAGACGGGCCTGCGTGCCCAATTTGTGACCCTTTGAAAATAAAGTTCGTTTGTTTGTTCGTTCTCTGTTAGCATTGTCCTTGCATTGTGCAGGTTTCATGTCTTTAGTAGCATTGTCTTTGCAGTGTTCAGGTTTCCTGTGTCTGGTAGCATTGTCCTTGCAGTGTGCAGGTTTCGTGTCTGTGGTAGCATTGTCCTTGCAGTGTGCAGGTTTCGTGTCTGTGGTAGCATTGTCCTTGCAGTGTGCAGGTTTCGTGTCTGTGGTAGCATTGTCCTTGCAGTGTGCAGGTTTCATGTGTCTGGTAGCATTGTCCTTGCAGTGTGCAGGTTTTCTGTGTCTGGTAGCATTGTCCTTGCAGTCTGCACGTTTCCTGTGTCTGTTAGCATTGTCCTTGCAGTGTGCAGGTTTCGTGCCTCTAAAACTACAGTGATAAAAGTGATGTTTAGTACAAAGCTTTGGCTACATGGGGACAAGCGTAATCCTGACAAACCTGATCTGGAGTTTTCTGTGATCTGTCACTAATTATAAATGTACCATTTCAGTCAGGTGCCATCTCCACAAAGAAGGTTTCTTGCGATAGAAGAAGACACAACATTAATTATATACTGAATAAATATTTTAACTCAGCATTTAGAATACCTTAAATATATTCACATGCTGTATTAGCTGATGGCATTGCTCCTTCCCTTTACTTATCCTCTCACTTGTGACTGTTACTTGTCCCCATATAAGACTATAATGTGGCCTCAGATTTGACTGTCAGTTGACCCAAGGTGTGTCTAGTCTGGTCTCAGATTTGACTGTCAGTTAACCCAAGGTGTGACTAGTGTGGTCTCAGATTTGACTGTCAGTTGACCAAAGGTGTGACTAGTGTGGTCTCAGATTTGACTAGCTTAATTCCTAATATTATTGTGGTTTATGTTTGCAGGAAAGCCTAATGAAGATGCACAGAGACCTGAAAGCCCAAGTAGAACAGTTCCGTAAACAAGCTGGAGCTAAGAGAATTGGCTAGCCTCTCACAAACTCACACTCTTTTATTGTTTGCAGTTGCTAGTTACAGTTACCCTCTACACAGGGCTGTTGTTAATAGAAATGACAGGGGAAGCAGCCTGATGAAGTGTGGTTGTTGACCTTCTTCTTTCATTTGCTTCAAATAGATTATCTGTATCTCCAGTATTGTCTGAGTATGAACTTCACCTCATAGTGTTGTGAAGAGAACCATCTCACTTTGTGTAATAAATTTTTCCAATATGAATCTTGGAGTTTTTGTACATGGAAAGCTGTGATGTTATAGAAAACTTTGTTGATTGTATTGTCATCAGAAGATGATTTCAGCACAACACTCAGAATGCCAGAACATACCAGGGCGCAGATAAACCCTCCAATCAAAACCATGTGGTTATAAAATAACAATCTAACAGATGCAAGAAAAAAAGAATCCAGATTGACTCACATAAATAAATCACTAGTGAAGCAGCCAGATGTGAATCAGCTGTGTCTAGTCAGAGTAAACAAATTCATGTGACTGCCTAATGGTTGAAAGCATGGAACAATACTGAAGTACGTATTCAGGGAAAAATCATACAGAGTAAATGTTTAAAACTAGTATGCAAACAGCATATGCCAACTCACAAATGAAAGCAAATGAGAAAAATTAATTATCAACAAAATTATACATAGAAAGCTAATAACTCTTGAAAACATACCTAATTAAATGTTTTTAATAATAATTTGCAGAGTTGCTAAGGAATTATGAATTCAGATGAAAGATTGAGAAATAGAGGACACAGAAATTGAACACAACAGAAAATGGATAAATGCATAGAAATATCCATAGATAAATGGTTGTTTCAGAGATAAAGACAGAGAGGAATTGAAGTGGGTTAAAAGGAAATAAGGTCGTCATCACCATGACTACATAAGATGAAAACTGAAATGATAAATTGTGTAGAGGCTACATTAGATAACAACTGAAATGATAAATTGTTTTCTAATTGTGTTATTCATGTCCAGGTATATAACATTGAATACATCATAGGTACTTAAAACACAGTTTCAATTCAGTGCTCAGTAAATCCGAAGCTGTTGGTTATGACGACTACACAACTGTTCGCCGAATGAACCATATAACCCAGATACTCCTCCAGATATGAAAGACAGAATTTAAGTAAAACAGGTTAAGGAGTTGAAGAACTGTTTTGGTTTTGTAAATGCAGCAAGATCAGAGATATATAATTTGTTTATATATGTTGACTGTAAAATATGTAGAAGTTTCAGAAAATATGAGGTCTGACAATTAAGTAATGACACTAATTCCATAAAAATTTAAATAATCAACAGTTTAAGATCTAACCTGTATTTTGTTAAAAGTAAACCCCTTGTGCATTGATACAGCGAGTGGCACGATCTAGCAAACACTGGAATGACCTCTATAGCTCATCTGTCTGTCGTTATGGCCCTTAAAATCGATGTTGCGGCCCCTTGAATGTCATCCATATCGTCAAAGAAGCGTCCTTTCAATGGCAACTTTGATTTTGGGAATAGATGATAGTCACAGGTAGACAAACTGGAGGGAATAGTGTAGATGGTTGGGAACGCGCACTTGTTTTGGGGCCCAAAATTCTTGTACAGCTACTGCCCTTCGAGCCGGTGCATTGTCATGAAGAAGAAACAAATGGCCTGATGTTGAAAACAACCCGCAAGCAATTTTTTTTTGCCCAAATCTTCCACTAAAATTTTATTAATAGTCTCTGTATTAACAGTCGCTCTGTGGCTAAGTCAATGCGAACGCTTCGTAATGCCGGGTTCGATACCAGCTGCTGGCCATGCGCCTTGCGTTGGTTTCAACAGTGGTATCAAGAAAGCCGACTGTCCAGAGAGAAATGGCAAACTACTGGACGTATATTTGCTTAGAAAAACCACACGTAGGTTTTGCAACGTCCTATTAAGGATACGCAACTAACCTTAACATCTGTATTAACACCAAATTCATCCTCACAGACGAGCAAGGATCTTCTTGTATTCGTTCTCGGAATTCTGCAATGATTTCCTCATTACGAACAGAAATTGGGCGTCCAGGTCTCGTTGCATTAGTAATTATTTCCACACCACTTTTAAATAGTGAATATCAGCTAGAAATCTGGGCATGAGATAAACAATTATCCTGATAAAATTTTCGCATCAATTCACCTGTTGCAATGGCACTTTTTCTTAGTTTAAACAAAATATAAAAATTAGCTTTTTTGCTCCATGCTATTACGTAAAAGTGCACCTCTGACCAGGTTAACAAAATGGCGGCTTGATTGTTTTCTGCTTATCGGGTGGCGATGAAAATTTGTCAGATCATAGATGAAGGTTGCCTCTTTGGATTCCATGCTGTGATTCATAGATAGCATTTTTGTCTTAGCCATAGTAAAATAAGTCTCATTACTTAATTTTTGGACATTGTATTATTTTCTTCCCCAAGGTATAAGACACATTTATTGTCACAAAAATATAGGGTCTAAAAACATTGTGCGTCTTGTACAGTGGTAGTAGATTTTTAGCAAATTATTTTTTAGAAAACACCCCATACACGGCTTCAATTTGGAATGCTGGTTGAGGGGCGACATAAAAAAGGAAAATAAATTATAAAATTAAAAGTTCCTTCCTGCTGTAATGGTTTTAGCTCTTGTCTTTGCTCTCATTGTTTCAAACTTGTTCCATTAGGAATTCCTGTGTCCACTAAGATTCAACCTCTTGATGTCAGCATTAACAAATTCTTCAATGCCATGAGAGGTGAATCGAACAAATTCCGTAACTACAAGTAGTCTGACTATGGAGGTCATGGCTGTGACTAAAGCAGTAACAAGGCTAGAGACACAGACTTTCACTGGGGCATGCTTTCTTAGTGACCTGGGCTACAAAAAAGATCCAGGGTGACATTGCGTAGGTCAAAGGGTTGACCTTCAAAAATGCATATATACTTATAGGTCAAGGTCAGTCGAGTCTATGGCAAAGAGAAGAGCGGAAGTCCGTCCAAAAATCAGGCACTTTTCACAGATTTCGAAGAAAAATTTTCAAAAAAGTCGGATGAACAGGTTTGGTGAGAAAATTCAAAATGTGATGAGGTCGAAAGTAGGTCGTGGCCTTGGGACTTTTTTTTTTTTTTTTTTGAGATCCCTAGATAGTGGGGTTCTGCCGGTCCGTTTAGGGGTCTCAGTGGGGATCTGAGGGTCTGATGTTGTAGAGTGGGGATGTGGGAGTCGGGGGATATGTGGACCTCGGAGACAGGTCTATTAGAAAGGGGTCAAATCGGGGGTCAAAGTCAGGTCAGTTGCAGACGTGATTTTGGGAGATGAGTGATTCCGAGGCAGGGTCTGATGGGTGGGTCACGGCACGAGAGACAAAAAAGGTCATGACGACCCCCGAGTTTGGAGTCACGGTACACGTGGTGTTGGCGGGAAACTGTATTTTCGGCGGGAGGCGACCCCTGGGTCCCAGTGTGGGTCGGGGTCGGAGAAGAGGGTCTGAGTAGATAGTCCCGGTCCTGGGCTTTCCAGAAATGTAACTTTTATAGAGACAAGTTCAATAGTAATTGAGATATGGCGCCCGGAAGTTTGGAAAAAGTGTACGCAGCCAGAAAAAGTATACGCAGCCGAGAAAAAGTGTACGCAGCACTAGGCTGGAATTTTCAGTCCGGATCGCGTGCCTCCGTCATTTTGGCGGGATTCGTATCTCGAGTCAGTGTATTGCTCGATTCAAATTTGGCGAGTGGTGTCACGTCGCACGGGACCTGGGCTATCAAATGACACCTTGACCTTGATTGGCACTCATATGGATGACCTTGACCTCTAAGTCAACTTGTTTTTCAATACCTATTGAGGTCAATGGGTCAATATCACGTCACAGTCGGAGTATATTGGCACCAATCAACGCAGCGTGACCTCGGCAACAATAAAGGTCATGGTTGCCGATCACGTGGCGGTCACGGTTGGGGAGTTATTCAGGCTTTTTTTTTCTTTTAATCTGGGTCGGGCGTGGCAAGGCCCCGTCGGCGAATTTGTGGCTCGATTCAAATTCCGCCGGCTTTTGCAGGTCCCCCTGGACCCGGTCCGTCCGAAAAGTCCACGATCGTGACAATCGGTCCATAACTTCACGTCGAAAACGGGGCCGGAGTGTTTTTCGGCACCAGAGTAAGTTTTTCGAGCGGCCGGCGCGGGGCGCAGTTCACGACCGTGGCGATGTAGGACCCCTGGGCAGACGGGGTCGAAGGTCCAGACCGCGTGGTCAAAAGATCCCGGGGTCAAAAGTTTGACTTTTTGGTCACGTCACTTTTCCGTCCAAAAAGTGCTCCGAGCCGATTACCGGCTTGGAACACCAAACAGGGTCCATCTGATGAACGACTTTGGGCGCAATTTGGTCAACTTGTCACGTTGTGAACCGATTAGAATTCTGAAAACGGGATCGTGTTCTCCGTCACGTGGGCAGTCGGATGACATATTGACCTCAGAGACTCGACCAATTTTTGACCTTGATATCGGGGTCAAGGTCATTTAAGCAATAAACGTGGCTCCCTGGGTCGAGGTCACGTCCGAGACGGGATGTTAAGGATGGATCGGAAGCGCCGTGACCTTGCGCGACGAAAAGGTCATGACGTCCGACCGCGTGCGAGGTCAACTTCGTGACCTTTTGCCGCCCCAAAGTTCGCGACCTCAGACGATTGCACTAGGAGGCGTGGCGAGCGGGAACTTTTGGCGGGATCGTTACTGCCGGTCACGTTGTGGGTCGATTTCAATTCCTACGATGGGGTCGGGTGGGTCGTGACCCAGGCTCTCCGTGGAGACCTTGACCTTGGAGATAGCCACGCTCCGTGACCTTGAGAACTGAGGCGCAGAAACTTTTGGCGGGATCGATTTGAATTTCGACGATGGGGTCAAGTGGGTCGGGACCCATGCTGTCCGGGGAGACCTTGACCTTCGAGACGGGCGTAGTCAGTGACCTTGAGACACGTGGTACGGAACTTTTGGCGGG